CAGTCCCACAGGTCTCTGAGACTCTGTTCATTTTATTTGTATTCTATTTTTCTCTTTGTTGGGTAATTTCTATTTTTATATCTCTCTCAGGTCACCGACTCTTTCTTCTGTCCCCCTAATTATGCTGTTGTGCTCAGCCATTGAGCTTTTTAAATGTCAGTTGTATTTTTAATTTAAAAATTCCATTTGTTTTTATCTTAATATCCCCTCTCCCTCTCCCCTTAGGATTTCTGTTGTTTCATGTGTGTTTGCACTTTTTGAAGCTTTTTTATATAATTGCTTTAACAATCTTTGTCAGAAAATTCTAGCATTATTCTTATTTCAGTGTGCGCATGTACTGTTTTAGATCTTCCTGGTTCTTGGTGTGACAATTTATTTCTGATTAAAACATGGATATTTCATATCATTTTATGAGACTCTGGATCTTATTTAAACCTTCTGTTTAGCTGGCTTTTTATGAATCTTAAGCATGGAGTTGAGGAAAAAGACTTAATTACTGCCAGATGGAAGTAAAATCCGGGTTCTCCATGTGGACTCCAATGACACCAGCGAGGAGAGGCTCCTATTTACTACTGGACAGATGTGGGAATCCCATCTCCATATGTAGCTTCTACTGACACTGTGGCAGGGGTGGCTTCATTACTGCTGGACATTGGTGAAAATCCTGACCCTTCACTAGGCCTCCTTAACACCAACCCAACAGGGAAGAAAAGAGGCACCTCATTTCTGTCCAGTGGATGTGGGAGTCTAGGCTCCCCATTTGATTTCCCTGGGTGTGGGGGGGACTTCATAGGCCAATGAGGGTAAAAGCTCTGGCTTCTACTTGTCCATCTTTGCATCACCCTAGTAGAGGTAGTGAGGTGCCTCATTACACTGCATAAGAGTGAAAATATAGGTCCTTCATTGTACTTCTGCTTACATGCGTGGGCATGGGCCACTATTTATGTGTGGTGTTTATCTGGAGTACAATGCCTAAAAATTTTCTGTCTTGATATCTGTCCTTGTCCTTTGGTTATATAGTACAGGTGACTGTTGGAGATTTTATGCATGTATCTGTGCCCATTGGCATTTTCAGGCTCCTGGCTTCTTTAGTTTCAAGTCTTGGCTATCTGAAGCAAAAGGAATACCCAGGAGACTCACTATTATGTAATTCTTGGGTTCTTGAAGTCCCTAGCTAGCTTACCTTCTTTTCTTCACCTTTGAGAGTTGTCTTATATTTGTTTTATATGTGAAGTCCAGAGTTTTTTTTTTAAGAGGGAAGAATAGGGAAACTGTCAACTTCATCTTGCTAGAAGTGAAAATCTCTCCAATTACATCTAGATTTGCATAATCTTTCTCAAGAATTTTTATCATTAATAAATGGAATGCTGAACATGAGATTTATTCCTCAATATTTAAGCTCATTAGACCAATGTTTGACCAGAGATAAATTTAAAGGATGTAAAGTCCTTCAGAGATAAATTTAAAGGGTGTTACATCCTTCCACATGATAATTCTACAAACTGTTATAGCACACTGTCTAGTTTCCCCTTAATCCAAACTTGAATTGATGTTCAAGGCAAAGATGTGATTTTCTCATTCTTTGCTTCTTCTCCCTTTACCCTGTAATCACTTACTATAAGATAATAGTAAGACTGTTGAGCTGGTCAAACAAAGGATATATAAAACACCTGAAAGGCAGCCATAAATAAATAAACTGCAAGAACAAAAAAAGTTAATGTGATAATGTTTAAGTATGTAGTGAGATCATCTGGTAAGAATAGACTTAGTGGCTGCTTTTCTTTTCTCTTCTTTTTTTCTGAGTGGGAGTCTCACTCTGTCACCCAGGCTGGAGTGCAGTGGCTGCTCCCGGCCACCGCAGCCTCGACCTGATGGTGTCCGGCGATCCTTCTGCCTCAGCCTTCCAAGTAGCTGGAACTACAGGTGCATGATACCACGCCTGGCTAATTTTTGATTTATTGTAGAGATGAGGTCTTGCCAAGTTGCCCAGGCGGGTCTCGAACCCGCGGGCTCAGGCAATCCTCTCACATCAGTCTCCCAAAGCGTGGAATTACAGGCTGAGCCAGCGAGCCTGGCTAGTTGCTGCTTTTCTACTTTTTATTATTTCCATGTAAAACTATGTTAGATTCTTTTGAGAGTGTTCATCCCAGGCACAATCTGCCCTTCTCTGGGGACTGTCTCTAGATCCACAAGGGTAGGGCTTCCGAGAGCTGTGTTTGTAATTATGTGACTTCTACCCACTGGCAGGGTTGCCAGTCAGATTATCTTTCCCTATAATTTAGAACCGGAAATAAAGCTGTCGTAGGATGAAAATTTGTGAACAAAGGGATATAAAAATTTCTTTGCAGAGAGAGAAAAGCATAGACTGAAGATGGATAAAGAGCCCTAGTAGTTTTTTATTCCCTCATTTCAGTCTTTTCCTGAAACCTGGCTGAATTCCTTATCCCTCTGTTTCCGCAAGTAGTCTTCTTAAACTTTCTTACAATTCTTCCCCTACCTTGCCTTATGCTTTTTGATTAGGCTAGTTTGAATTGGTTTCTGTTATTTGTATCCAAAGAGGTCTCAATTAATACAACCTACTTTTTGTCTACACCATCATGCTCAGGCTAATTCATACTGAGTGCATTTTTAGATTCAAAGTCATATAAGAAATCTCTTATGAAAATAATTACCTACTATCAAGCTGTTCTAATTGTCACCCAGACCCTTTGCCTATCTCTGGATTCTCAACTTCTCAGTTCTTTTGCCGGTGTCTTTTGTATTTTGTTGTTAGTTTCCTGATTTTTTATTTTGCTGACATTATCACATTCCACCCATTGTGTGCCTGGGCCCACACTGTTTGTTCCTCTTACATTAACTGAACATTGGACTTAATTTCTGTCAGATACTGCCTTCCCCAATATGATATCTACCCCATTCCACTACAAGGGGCCACCAATTGCCTATTTTATAATTTTATTGACTTTGGATTATGCAATTAAAATTTTTTCAAAAATTAGAAAAATATTAATAAACACAAAATAATTAAGAGAAATATTATGCCCTGACAACACTATCCGGAGATAATCACTGTTGGGAAATATACTTTCAGAATTTTTCTAGGTGCTTGAATGTGTATAATATGCACATGTACAGAGGGTGCCCCCAAAATATATGCACATTTTATGAAAGGAAAAAACTATATTAAAATTGTAATACTCAACATATACCAATAACAAAAGATGACTACAAGTCACATTTGACTTTTGCAATTACAAGAGGTGCTCAAAGTGGTTATCAGTGTCCAGACACTTCTGATTATGGCAAGCTAAAAGTGATACATAGATAACATCTCTTAATATGTGTAAGATTTTTTGGTATCCATGATATATAAATGCAACCATACTAAATCAAACTTTTGTAGTCTGTTTTGATTAACTTATCTATTATGAACATAATTCCATGTTAATTAATATATACTTACAATATTTAATAGCTATATAATATTTTATTTTATAGATGTACCATAATTTATTTAAGCTACCTTCTATTGTTTGACATTTAGGTCCTTTCCTTTTTGTTTTTGACTACTATGAATAATACTGAAATTAACGTCACTCTACATAAATCTTTTAGCCTTTATCTAGATATATTCCTTAGGATCAATTACTAAAACTGAAATTTCTTAGTCAAATAAATGTATGATATTAAGGATTTTTCACTATATTGTTGGGTTGCCTTCTAGAAACCCTGTACCAGTTGTATTCCCACAATCAATGAATTAATTCTTCCATTGAGAAGCAAAAATGAATGATATTGCATTCTCATTTTAATTTGCACCCTGCATTTAAGTGAGATTGAACATTTCTAAATACTCATTGACCATATTTTTTTCTTTTACAAATTGCCCTTTTATAGCCTTTGCCCATTTTCTTATTAAAATATTCATAATTTTCTAGATGATTTGTAGGCACTCTTTATATATTAAGTATATGATCCTGTTTTTTCATTTATATTATAAAGAGAAATGGCAAGCATAATGATAAGGTCAGAAGCACTCTGGAGTCCGAATGTCTAGTTGAATTTGAATTCAGATTCTCTTACCTACCAGCTTGTAAGATTTTTTGTTTTGTTTTGTTTTGTTTTTTTGAGTTGGAGTCTCACTCTGTCGCCCAGACTGGAGTGCAGTGGCCACTCCTGGCCACTGCAGCCTCGCCTGCTGGGCTCCGGCGATCCTTCCGCCTCAGCCTTCCAAGTAGTAGCTGGAACTACAGGCACGCGCTACCACGCCCGGCTCATTTTTGATTTATTGTAGAGATGAGATCTCGCCAAGTTGCCCAGGCGGGTCTCGAACCCGCAGGCTCAGGCAATCCACTCGCCTCAGCCTCCCAAAGGCATGGGATTACAGGCTGAGCCACCGAGTTGTGAGGCTTTTAACAAATTTCTTAACCTCTTTGTACCTCAGTTTTCTAATGTATAAAATATAGATTTTATATATATTTATAAAAATTTATTGATAATATTAGAATTATACTTATTATTTTCAGCTTGTTACTGTCTTTACTTTTATTTGCATGAGCTTCCTTTTGACCTTAGAGATGGTTCTGTTTTTTAATCTTTAAAAGAAATCTTGTCTCACGCATGCATTCCTCTGAGTATCAATAAGCCAAAGTAGCTAACGCTAATTATTTTTAATTCTGGTTACACTTTAGTATTATAAAGTTTAAAGACACCTGAACATTTTCATGTGAGGCTATAATTATACTTTATTTATGCATACTTGTCATAAATCCAAATTGAGTAGTAGTTGCACGCAAATAATATATCAAATACCTGGTAATTTACTCCTTCACTTATCCTATGTTTTCTGGTGGCCTCGAGCCTTTGTTTCATTGTCAAATGTGTTGTATCTGACACTCTTTTCAAGAGTCTGTGTTTATTTTGTTTCTTAGGATGAATGAATAAGCCTTGCTTCCTTATACAAGAATGTAGCTAAGAATGATAAAATTGTCTTGACTTACTGATGTTGGATTTGGAAGTTGGCTCTTGGTTTGCATTGCTGAGAGGTTTGCATATTTTTGGTGCTATTCGTGGTAGAGAGCAAATGCTGCAATATTTCTTTAGTCCGAGCTATTCTTTTATCTCTGTAGATCCTTTTTTCATCATCTGTCCAATTTATACCAGTCTTCTTGTTTTGGAAAGATGTGAATTCTTTCATTTGACTTTTTAAGTTGTCATGCAGATCTGGGGACCAACCACAAAAATATGTACAGATATATGAACTATATTTATTCAACAGTTATTTATCAATCATTATTATGTGCCAAGGAGTTTATCTAAAATTACTTGCATCTGAAGCTTATACTTTAATGACAGTGAGCAGAAAATAAGCAAATAAGCAAGTAAAATATATAATATGTCAGATAAGGATTATAGGATAAAATAAAGCTGGGGAGGAGAATAGAGAATTCCTGGGGATTTGATTTCCATTTTTAAAAGAAGGTCTCCATCTATAAAGCTGACATGTCATAGGAGTTACAAAGGGAATCAAGGAGATTTCAAGGGAGAGATCATTTGAGGCAAGGGAACAGTAAATGTAACGGTGCTTACTGAGGTAGGAGCACGTAGTGTATTTAAGAATGCCAAGAAAGCGTCATTAACTGAAGCAGAATGAACTAAGAGAAAAGTTATCAGACATGAGTTCGGGTAAGTAACTTGGACTCAGCTCATGTAGGGCTTCATAGACCAGTGAAAGGACTTTGGTTGTTACCAAATGGGAAATGGGAAATCATTGGAAAACATTGAGCAGAGGAGTGTTACAGTCTGAGATTTGTTTTAATAGGATTCTGCTGGTAGCTGAATTGAGAACAGATTGAAGAGAGGCAAGAGTAAACAAGTAGGGAGATCCCTTGAAAGGCTCTTGAAACAATTCAGCTGAAAGGATAATAACTTGGACCAGGTGGTGAAAGTGGCCAGAAGGGTGAAAAGTGGGGGGAGGTCCTGGGGATATTTTGGGATTCTCTAAAGAATTGAATGTGAAGTGAGAGAATAAGAGAGGACTTAATGGTGGCTCCAACATTTCTGATTGAAGAAATGGCAGAATATGGATATGGGGAAGGCTGTGGGAAGAACATGTTAAAATTCCTTCTTTAGTAGATGATATGAAGGAATCATCGTTTTGTAATTAAGATGCTAAAGTATAGTAGTGTTTTTTAAAAAGTCTTTACCCATCTCATACCAATTAGAATGGCTGCTAAGAAAAAGAAAGAAAATAACAAATGTTGGCAAGGATTTAGAAAAATTGGAACTCTCACATACTATTAATGACAATGTAAATGGTATGGCCACTGTGGAAAACTGTATGATTGTTCCTGAAAAAATTAAAAATAGAATTTTAAATTTTATTAAATTGTGTGATTCAGCAATTCCACTTCTGGTTATATATCCAAAAGAATTGAAAGCAGGGTCTCCAAGAGACACAATTTGTTTTCACAGCAGCATTATCCACACTAGCCTAAACAACCCAAGCGTCCATTGACAGATAAAGGGATAAACAAAATGTAGTATATCAGAACGTTATTCAGCGTTTAAAGGGAAGGGAATACTGATACACACTACAACACTGATAAGCCTTGAGGCCATTACACTAAATAAAATGAGCCAGTCACAAAAAATCAAATACTATATTTGCCTTCCAAATATTTGACTCCACTTATATAAGGCACCTAGAATAGTAAAATTCATAGATATAAAAAGTAGCAGGATGGTTTCCATGGGATGGGGGAAGGGAAGTGAGGAGCTGTTGTTTAATGGGTGCTTATTATGTATCTGACATTATGTTTGGTTTAGCAAATAAATATAAGAACATACAAAGTCATTGCCTTCAATATGCTAAGAGTCAGGACTAGAGAGAAAATGCAAAATTCAGTTGTGAAGATTGTTTGCACAACAGTGTAACATACTTAACACTACCGAATTGTGCACTTAAAACACTATCAAGTTGATACATTGTATCTTATGTGTATTTTACCAAAATTTAAAAAAACAACATACTCAGAAAAAGAGGAGGGGGGAAAAAACCCCGAGTAAAACCTGAAGGGAGACTAGAAGTCAGATGTTTTGAAGAATGTGGCAAAATTATTTACAATTATAATTGGTTTTAGAATAAAACCAATAAATACACTGTGCTTTTACAAAAAGTATCTAGTTATACACTGAACTATTTATAGGCAAAACAATATGATTTATGGAATTTATTTTTGTTTGTTTGTTTATTGAATTGAGGTCTCTGTCACCCATACTGGAGTGGTCACGGCTCACTGCAACCTCGACTTCCTGGGCTTAGGCCATTCTTACCACTCAGGTGATCCTCCCACCTCAGCCTCCAGAGTAGCTATGACTACAGGTATGTGCCATCATGCCCTGGCTAATTTTTAAATTTTTTTTGTAGCGACAAGGTCTCACTATTTTGTCTAGGCTGTTGTCAAACTCCTGGGTTCTATGGAGTTTATTTTAAAATACTCTAGGAAAAATGATGGAAAAATAGGTGAAACAAGAGTAGCAGAATGCTGGTAGGAGTGGGTGATGAGTACCAGTGAGCTCATTAGTCTATTCTCTCTGCTTTTTTTCATGTTTGAAAATTTACACATTGAGGTTTCTTTGACATAAAGAAATTGTTCATTCTTAAAAGAAAAATAAACAATAACTAATTGAATTCAATAACTAATTGAATTAAGGTAGATCCAAGATATCTGGCAATGCTGTCAAATAAACTTACTTATCTGTAGTTTTTTGAGAGGCCATTCAATAAGCATTCATTGAAATGTTTATTATGTATCTGACATTATACTTGGTTTACTAAATAGATATAAAGATACTAAATAGATAAATAGCTATATAAATAGGCCGGACTCGGTGGCTCAGCCTGTAATCCCAGCATTTTGGGAGGCCAAGGCAAGTGGATTGCCTGAGCCCGCGGGTTCGAAACCAGCCTGGGCAACTTGGCGAGACCTCATCTCTACAATAAGTAAAAAATTAGCCAGACGTGGTAGCCGCACCTGAAGTTCCAGCTACTTGGAAGGCTGAGGAGGAAGGATCACCAGAGCCCAGCAGGTCGAGGCTGGGGTGACTGTGAGGGTGCAACTGCACTCCAGCCTGGGCAATGGAATGAGACTCCAACTAAGAAAAACGAAACAAAACAAAACATACATAGTCATTGCCTTCAATATGCTAAGAGTCAGGACTAGAGAGAAAATGTAAAGCATCAATTAGGATATATTTTTACATAGATAAACCAGGGCACTTACTATAGTATTACAGACAAGGAATTTATATATATTTTTTGCAGCAAAATTTCATGAATACTTCCTCCAGTTCCTCTCCTCCCATTCTAAAATGCATATTAATTAGATTTGTACCGCCATCCTTCTACAGAAATTTCTCTGATCAACATCCTCAGTAACCTCCATGTTGTAAAATTCAATAGTCAATCCATTTCACTTCACCTATCAGAAGCATCAGACTCAGTTGATCATTTCCTCCTCTTTGATAAACTTTCTGACTTGGCTTCCAGGACAACACATTCTCTTGGTTTTCCTTCTGTCACACAGAGTTTTCTTTCTATTCCAAAGTCTTCTTTGTTGGTTCCTACTCTTCTCCTGACTGATAATGTAGGAGTTCCTGAGGACTTGGTCTTTCACCCTCTTTAATCTCTAAACTCATTCCCTCACAAATCTCATTCAGCTTCATGCCTTAAAATGCTACCTCTATGCTGAAAATCCCCAACTATATCCCTAGCCCAGCTCTGTTTCCTTAATTTTAGACTAATATCCAACTGCCTATTCACACCCAACTTCAATGTCTAAATGACTTTTCAAATGCAACTTGTCCAAATTGCTACTCCATTCTTAGTCCTTCTGTTTCAGCAGAATTCAATCCAGTTGGTTACTAAAGCACAAAATCAAGAAGTTTCAACAGTTGCAAACATCTGTGAAACCATCACCACAATGAGTGTTTTTTGCCTACAATCCCACTATATTTAACTTTAAAAACAGTTTAACTTTAGAAACAGTTTTCCAAAGTGGCTGTGTCATTTTATATTTCCAACTGCAATATTTGAGAATTTTAATTGCTCCAAATCCTTGTCAACACTGTGCATCACCAGGCCTTTAAATTGTAGGTACTTTAACGGTTGTGCAGTAGTACCTTACCATAGATTTAATTTGTATTTTTCTAATAATTAATAACTTTGAGCCTGCTTATTTGCCATCTGCGTATCTTTTCTGATTAGCTTAAATATTTTTGTTCATTTAAAAAATCCAATTGTTTGCCACAGTACTGAGTTTTAAGAGCTCTTTATATATTACTGATACACATTCTTTATTGGAAGTATATTTTGTAAATATTTTTTCCAATATGTCTCATGCATTTTAATTTTCTTAAGAGTGTCTGAAGGAAAATTATTTTGCTGAAGTTCATTTGCCAATTTTTTTCTGTTATGATTGGTGTTTTTGAACCCTGTATATTAAGGAATCCTTACCTCTCCCATCATCACAAAGATTTTCTCGCAGACTTTCTCCTATGCATTTTAGCTTTAATATTTAGATCTATGACCCATTTTGAGCTAACTTTTTGCAATGATATGAGACAAAAGTTAGTGTTAATTTTTTATATGGCTGCTTAGGAGCCAAATAGATGCTTATTTTTTATAATCTGGAGATGGGGCAACATCTTCCAAGCATTAGAACAATGAAAAAAAATACACAAAAGACCAAACTAAGTGAAAATAATAGAAATCTTACATATAAAAATATGCTAGATAAAATATAAAAGTAAATCCTAATTCAGAGAAAATATCTACAAAACTTATGATAGAGAGAGGAGGATTAATAGTCAATATGTTAGGCACTCTTACAGATCATTAAGATGGAGACTAAGAGAAAACAGAAAATATGTCAAATGACAATTCATAAAAGAAGACTTTAGATGACTAATAAAATGCCACAAAACCTCAACATTGAGAATACTCACAGATATTTCTAATATAAAATCACAATAAAATTCTATTGACTATATGCTTATCTTTGAGGTTATAAGACTTTTTCAATAATGAAAGAATGGCTGTTTTTGATGAAACATTCTAGGGAAGATAAATTTTAAATGTTAATTTATTCCAGAAACAAAAGAAAAGAAAACATCATGATAAGTAAAATTTCCATGTGAGTCTAATTTACTTTTTTTTTTTT